GATTATAATTATTTTTACTAAATCTCGGCTTGAAATTGGTATAGGTTTGAATCAATTTTATAAGGATTTCTGAGATTTTTACGGTAGGTGCTGTTATAAACAACACCATAGGTCTAATCGGAAAAATGGTTTTGTGTAATTTAATAGGAGAAACCATTTTTGGTGGTTGTGGATTCATGATAATTGCTCTACATTTATCCTTTCCATTCATAACCAATTCTACTGTCTTGAGGATTTCCTTAACTATTTTCTGGTACATAGTTGTAGGGTCATTCTTCAGAATCTTGTAGCTCCCTGAATTAAGAAAATCTACAATTTTGCCTACATAGTCATTTTTATGTAATGCATTAACCGTTCACTGTTTTTACTGTGAAAACACGCCCGAAGAAGCCATTGTATGGCGAAACATGTGTTGCGTTTTTGAAAAATTCTTTAATGAAAATCTGACAATAAAGTGTTTTTTGAATACTTATGTAACCTTTCGTTTTTCAGGATCGGAAATACCTAATGTTTCAAGTTCCCACAAATATGAGATATCATTTTTGCAAGAAAGAGAAGAAAGTGACATCGAAGAAACCTATAAAAATGTCTTGAATGGGACTTAGGAATTTTACCCATCAGTATCCAATCTAAACGAGTTTCCATGGCAACTAACCCACATTGCAAGGAATGTCGAACACCAGTAAACAGTTTTCCAGCAATGTTGGCTCCGATTAAAACTTCTATTGGACCATTTTTGGTATCAGTAATTGAAATACCCAATTCGCTCAGCTCACCTCTCCAAGGATCATATCAAATTGAAATAACGTTATTACAAATCAGTGGTTGATCTAGAGAACATCAAAATAACAAACGTATCTTCCATCTAAATTTTTGAGAGTCACTGTATACACGAGCATGAATCTGTTGTTCTGAACCCACAGCTTGAAACCTCATTTCACAAGCGGTATGTTTAACAATAACAGATTTTTGAGACCCTGCTCTAACAGACCGAGATTTCGAGGGGCCACTCAATTGCACGACAAGAGTTTGTAGAAATGTTTCATCGTGATAGGTAGTACTCGATAAAAATGGGTTATTTAGGTTTGAATTGTTGAATTCCGATGAAGTGATTTTCTTGTGACATATTATAGTGGCATAAACGTATTCAAAAACACTTCATCACTATACAGTTTTACAAAAACGCAACACGTGTCCATACAATGGCTTCTTCGGGCATGTCTTTACTAACTATATTCTATATGCGTATACAAAAAACACTATATTGTGAGATTTTCACTAAACAATTTTACAAAAACGCAACACGTGTTTCGCCATACAATGGCTTCTTCGAGCGTGTTTTTACAGTAAAGTCCCATTCAAGGCTTGTTATAGGCTTCTTCGATGTTTGTTTCTTCTTTTTTTTGCAGAAATATCTCATTTTTCTGGAAACATGAAACGTTAGGTATTTCCGATCCAGAAAAGCGAAAGGCAAAGAAGGAAACTGAAGGAGATTTAATGGAAAAGTTTGTGAATTCAGTTCGTATAAATGATGAAGGAAAAGATAGGAATACACCATCTTTTAACCAATGTTCAGAAAAAAGAATCAATTTTATTGAAATTATTTCATCGATTTCAATTCGATTTAGACTTCATAAATTAGATGTTATTTCTGACTTTGGGAAGGCGTTTTAGTTTGCAAAAAGAAGGTCGCAATTTTTTAAGATTCCTATGGTTTGACAAGGAACGTGAAGTGAAATTATTTCGTCATACAATAGTATTTGAACGCTCTTGATCAGTGCAAACAAAATTCGAAGTTTTCAAAAGGAGTGATACTGAAGTTGATCAACAGTTTTTACGTTGATAACTATGTGACCAGCGTTAGTGATGAAAATGAACTCTAACAATTCATTATGGAATCTACCCACGTTATGTTGGGAGAAAAATTTGATCCTCGAGGGTGGAAGTTCACTTTAACTGACAAAAAATTAAAATCTGATGATGAATGATGAATATCTGACGTCGGTATTAGGTCTTGATTGGAAATTTAACCCCCCTGGAGCACCATGGGGGAATAATAGTCGGAGCGGCTTATTGGAATAGTTAAACAATTTCTACGAAAAAACCTAGGAAGGACTTATTTAACATATAGAGTTGTTGTATACTGTATCATGTCACTGTGAAACTCTAATAAATGCACGACCTCTCACAACAATCAAGAAATAGCTGCTTCAACACCCTCTATGTTTCTGCACGAAATTGAAAAATTTGAAACACCCTGTTTGAATGAAGTGTAGGGGAGACCGGAGCAAGATGAAGTTCGGGGCAGCACGGGAAGTAAGCTTGTGTGCGTGAATAGTAATCGTGTTCGGAGCGGCGACAGCGCCATTTGCACGAACTTCACTCTCCGCTAGTGTGACCAAGCAGAGCGAACAGGTTAGAACTCGTTTTTGTGTTGCAGAGAGAAAAAAGTGATATTGCAAGTGTTTTTACGCGATATTTGATTCGAAAACTGATGTACAGACATCTAAGTACCTGTGTTAATGTATTATTTCAATCCCGAGTTTATTATAGTAGTCCAAAACATTAAATTCAAACCAGATTTTTTCGCCGGTAAAGTTTGAGGTTAGAATTGCGTCATCTTTTTTACCTACGTGTGGATCGTGGCAAGATGATCGGGGCATAATGGGATACTATCCCGTTTTGCCCCGCCCTTGTGATTAAAATAACATTTTCTATGTACTGATAATCAAGTGACTGAAAAAGGTAAAAAACAAATAAAGAAACCTGGAAAAAAGACTGCAAAGAAGATTAAAAAGACAACTGACAAGGAAAACCTGCAGAAAAAGCGTCAAACCAAAAGGTGCAAAAAAGAAACTGAATCGGAAGATAGTTCATCCCAAGAAGAGGATGATGACTGTGCTTGCATCTATTGTGGGTACTTATACTCAGATTCAACCGAAGGTTGGGTCATCTGCGGCGTGTGCCACGGTTGGGCGCATAATTCATGTGCCGGAGTAGATGAGGAAGATGAAGAGGCACACATTTGTGAACGCTGTCTACCCGATTAAAAAGCGTAGTCGTTTTGCCCCACAGCGTTTCCCATCTTACCCCAGTTATGGAGCAAAACGGGAAATTTGCAGAGTTTATTTTTTCATTATTTCCCAAAAAAAGTTCTGTGATTTTGCATGCTACAACGTTTAATTATAAGAGAGAAATGTATAATGGTTACCTCTTTTGTTAAAGAATGTTATTAAAGAGTTTAATTTTCCTTGTATAACGAGTTTTGTCTTAGCTATCTCATCTTGCCCCAGTCTCCCCTATAGTTCGTTATTGAGAGATTGAGACGTCATATGAGTTACAAGCAGATGACAAGATTGAACCTACGAAAGATATTTCGAGATGAATACCTGAGTCAATTAATTTTACATACATTTTACATACTAGATAAATCAAGAAAGGGGATATCGTCAATATCAAGAATGAGAATTTGAAAAGACTTGATTGGCCTTTGGGTAGAGACATTCAAAATCGTAATTCATGAATGAAGTGTGTGTATTTTCTATAATGTTATCCAATTTGGTACTGAAGAGCCTTAGGGCAAGTGTCTTAAGGCGAAACACGGTGTATACCAGTTAGGGTGACAGTGTTCCATGTGAGTACAATTTATTACCATTCCTTCAAAGTAGAACTCATGTGAATGATATCTGATTCTTATTCCTCAACAAATGTTCGATATACAAACTGAATAGAGAAAAGTATCTTCTGTATAATTCAGTGTTCATATAGAAGTATTTGTTTCGAAAGAATTTTTTTTCTTTCGTGTAATTCAATGTTTATATGAAAGTAGCTGTTTCAGGAGGACTCTCTTTCAGTTTGTGTCTGAAAGTTACTTCTTTGCATGATCTACACATCCATGTATAGAGTTACTTATTTTCAAATTGATTACTTCCTTCCTTTCTTTGGAAGATTCTCTCATCCATTTTTTTGTATCAGATGGAGTAGTAGAAAGCAAAAACTTTCTTTCTCAAAAATTAATCACTCCTAAAAATATAACCCTTTCAAATCATATAAGAAATAGTTTCCGGAAAAGATCCCCGATTGTGACACGATGTGGAAGAGAGGTGAAGCCTCGTGCAAGATTTGGATTTTAGCATTTTCCAGTCCAGTTAGTTGTTTCACTTTGTACGGAGACACAAGGTGGGATAATGTTGGAAATTGATAAGAATTGTCCATACTATATTTTACGGGTACTAAGGAATGCTGTTATTTTTTGAAGTTTTGATATTGTATAATAATTTTGAAGAGTATATTTCATATTAATTGGTACATTTCAACAACCTTCGAGTCACCCAAAAACCCTTGATACATATCAATACACCGGGTAGGTGTACTTGTGTGTTGCATTCTTTAGCGACCGTGACAGAACAATGGGGAAGATTCTGAAGGCTGTTACTTTTCACCTAACTTCGTTCGACCGACTATGAAAATACTGCAGAGTCCAACAGACAACATAACAATTATTTCTTAAAATTTCTTAGAATTGATAATGTGTAACTAAGTTCAGTAATTTGTATGAAATGCATTGTAAAATAGTTTAAAGTAACAGTTCAACAGAAGAAACCGAGTATTGAAACACGTCCATAATGTAAAAATTATTCAATTATTATCATAGATGGTAAAATTAAAATTAATTTTAATGAATGGGTCGTTAACAGTTACATGCAAACAATACAAATAAAATAATGAAGATAAATACTGGTAAAGATAGAAAAAAATAAAAATGAGAAAAATAAAAAAAGATTTCTAACCAAGCTATTTCACGTCCGATTATCAGTATTCACAATCTTCTTCGGGTCATAACTGCCTTTTCCAATTGTCACCCTTACAAACAAACGAATATTTTTGCGATCAGTTCTTTCTCTGACAGTGATGCCTTGCGATACACTTTCGAAAGGTCACTTTGTTAATTTGAAACCTTGAGATCCTGTTTAGATCCATTAACGATTCCGCATTTTCAGTTTTCTGAACAACATAGACACCATCAAGAGATCCGACTACATACCATCATTACAAGATATCCTCTTCTGCAGAGTTATGACGACATCTGTTAGCAAAATAGAATTCGACGTACCGATACCAAAAAAGTACGGGGGCGGGACAGCAGAGTTCTGGATGTTCGACGTAGGCGGCCAGAGAGGAGAAAGAAAGAAGTGGATCAAAGTATTTGCAGGGATCCAAGCAATTCTGTTCCTTATTGCAGCTAGCGACTTTGATTTAACTTTGCGCGAGAATAAGAAAATCAATAGGCTTGAGGAGTCTTTCGAGTTGTTTAGAGACATTTATTCCAGCGAGTAAGTATAGAGGTGTCTTCCAACAAGGACTTTCGAACTTTTCAATTGATAACAGTTATCTTGTTGAAGCTACATTTTTCATTTATTCAGTCTGTTTTGTCAAATCACCATGGACGAATATAGTATTCAACAACTTGCTGAAAACGTTGCCGCTGTCTGTGAGAACTGTTCAGGATAACCCAAGGTAGTCGATTTTGCGTCGCTCACAAGAACTTGGCCTTTCACAGACCACAACTTGGCGAATTTTGCGTCGTGACTTGGGTCTGCACCAGTACATCGGTACATATTTATTTGAGAACGACTGTCAACAGCGAGCACTATATAGGTCGATGGTTTGGCCTAAATTGGATGATCTAGACACCAACGATATGTGGTTTCAACAGGACGGCGCTACGTGCCACACAGCTCATGCCACTGTTAATTTTTTCAAGTCGCAGGTGTATGCGAATAAGCCACAAACCACAGCGTTCCTGAATACCAACATAATCCATACCGTCGGTCAAATTCATACTGATTTATGAGCTAGAATCATTGAAAATTGGACGTTTCGGATGCGCTCCAACCAGAGAAGCCGTGGCGGACATTTGAAAGATGTTATATTCCACACACAATGGCATCAATAAGTCTTTCCTTCTGTTTATTGGTATTTTACATTTTTCGATATGGATCTGCCTATGGTAGTAATGGAGTCTTATTGAAATAAAAATTCAATGACAGAAACGTGATGACGGTTTTAAGGATAAGAATGTGATGACGTTTTTGAGAATAAGAATGTGATGACGTTTTTGAGGATAAAAACATGAAGATGTTTTTGAAATGTTGAAAAACTCAGTTCTTAATAGATGGTCTAATATGTGGTGATTATTTCCTTCAGAGATAAAATGATGGAAAAAATGGAAATCTTGGCCGCTAAAACAAAGTTTTACATTGATGAAACGCTTTTTCTGAGTAGCGATAAAATTGACAGTAATGACAGACTATGGGTCATTAAATAAAATTGTTTTTTTTTTGAATCGATACATTCATCCAAGAATATTTTAGGAAATAATCATCACAAATACCACTCAACCTGAACATTTTCTCATACGACTGTCCATATTTTTAAACTCAAACTTTGTTATTTTTGAGCAATACCAATCAAGCAACAAGCAATAGATAAAACCACTCGTTCCACGATATACTGGTTTGTTTTATCATTCTGACTGCTGTCATGGTATTGCGAAATAACAATATTTTTGTTGAAAAATAGAAATTTATCAATAAAATTTTGAGTTCTGATATTATTGTCGAATAACCAATTTTAAAACTGCACCATTATTCTATCCTTATACGAAAATATGATGGGCAATCACATATAAGTACCTAAACGTTTTTGAAGAATATTAGGAATTAATATATGTCCTGGAGTTATAGGAACGAAGGTTACCCTCTACTTTTTTTACTATGATACTCTAATGATGCTTTCCAAAAAGGAACACGAAAAAGACCAACATTTGTTGTTTTTTATAACTAAATTTGTTATGACAGTAGTGGCTACTAAAATTGATGAAATAAAACTAAATTTTCATATTAAGAAAACATAAGGTTTTGGAGAAATTCAACGAATGAAACTTCAATATGTGTGATTGATGACTTGTTTATTTTGTGGTAATTCATGATTACTTAATGAATTGAATAAAAACACTTTTGTCTAATTTCCACTAATTAATTTCATTTATACGACCGGTTTCGGGTTTAACCCCATTATCAAGTATAAAACTAAAATGTGAAATTTGAAAACTCGGTTATATCGGGGGTTTTAAGGTTAGATAGAAGGACAGGTAGTTAAACGAACCAGAGTGCCAACTATAAAATTCAACACTGAAGATTATAGAGGTTGTTTAACTTATAAATTCAAGAGTGGAAACCTACATAAATAGAGTTGCTCGTTTAGGGGTATACATTGGCTTCCAACAAATCAATTTTTTCCCTTTATTACATATGTGTAGGATTTTGAGATCATCTTTACTTATCTTGTGTGTTGATTCTTGAAGATGTTCGTACATAGTAGATTTTTTGTCACGAAGTCTTACGTCAAAATTTCTACCAGTTTAGCCTGTATATATACTGCACAGCATTCGCCACACTCTCTATTCTATATATAAGTACCTGGTTTCCCGATTTTTTAATTCTATCTCGTTTGTGTTTTGCATTAAACAGAGTTCTGCCTAAGTTATTATTACTTATGGAAGTTGTTATTTTGTATTTAGAGAAGTAGTAATTTTGAATATTTTCTGAAAGTTTACCTGTGTAGTTAATGCTACTATACTCAATATATTGTGTTCCCGGCAGTTTGGGCATAATTTAGGGTCATTGTGGCAATTATGGGTCATACTTTTTTCAAATCACATATCTTTTTAACTATACGAGCTATAGACGTTAAATTTCAATGAAAGGAAAATAGGTTTATTGGCTGCATTTTGGTTAAAATGGTTTTTCAATATTAAAAAAAAAGAAGATTTTTGACCCACTGTGTCCTCAGATGGGTACACCAGTAGGTCAACCCTGAGGGCACAGTGGATCAGGAGTATATTGGAATATAAATAGGTAGGTAACTTCTAACATTTTTTATTAAATTCATATTTCAGGTTACACTTAATAAAAAAAAACCAAACAAAAAATAAATGATTTTAATAAGCGTTCTACATATCAACTAGCGGATATCGATTTGGGAAAAATCAACATTAAAATAGTAGTAAGACTGTCGGCGTAACGTGCTTCCTCCTAGACAAGGTTTAGGCAATGAAAGTTTTATATCGTTCTCCTTAACATATGATAAATCTGGATTACTTGGCATGTTAAACTGACATTTGCGATTTGCACGGAGGAAACTTACATAATATTCTAATTTATCATTACGCTCCTGTAAAACTTTTCCTGCGAAATAAATACTTTTCCTTTCAGTTGAAAAACTAACAAGAACATAATCTTCTTCCTTCGGAAAGCGAGGCAAAACATTTAGCAGTAATTTTTCATCAGTTAGTATTTCGATGTTATTTCCAACTTCGTCTCTCTCGCAACAATCAGAGTCTTCATCTTCCTCGCACCAATCAGAGTCTTCATCATGAATAGAAATATTTTCAATGTCATCTTCTGATTCACTCTGTAAGAGTTTCCTAACAGCTTTCTTCTTTGGTTCATTTGCTTTGTTCTTGTTTGGTAATTTCTTTTTCTTGACTTCCAATCTTTGTACTCTATGGTTTTCTTTTTCCGGTGTATCTATCGCAATTAAGCGGCGGCCAGGTTTCCCTTTTCTTCTGTTTGCCCTTGGCAGAGCTTTGAGGGGTTGTCTAAATTGGCTGGAGCTTACAAAAGCACCTGGTGATACCGGTGCATCTTTCGATTTAGAGCACTGGGGTTTTGCTGGTTGTTGTAAATGTTTTGTTGCAACTAAAGCCACATGATATGGCTTGACAGGCTCTTGTTCACGTTCAGGATCTGCTCCAGAGAGTGTTTCAGATTCTAAAACTGAAGAACTATTTTGCAAAATATCTCTGATATCTTATAACAGCCATTTCATATGCAACTTTTCAACGAATTTTTGTTGTTGAGCCGTATCGACAGATTCAGCATTAAACAACCTCGTTGAGAAAATCTCCCACTCCTTTGACAACAAGGAGATTGCGGTTGCTGTATTTCTTGATATTGAAGGAGCATTTGACAATGCACTACCTAAATCTATAGAATTGTCTCTGGCAAGGAAGGGTATATAATCGATCATAACTGGCTGGATTTATGCCATGCTAGTAAACAGAACTGCAACTACGATTCTTCAAGGCGAGGCCATCAGGTTCAGGGTCACCAGGGACTGCCATCGAGGTGGGGTACCATCTCTCCTTCTGTGGTCGCTCCTGATGGATAATCTGCTTGATACCCTTGACAGAAGAAAAGTTGATCTGTAAGCTTATGCAGATGAACTTGTCATCCTGGCAAGGTCCACGTCGGGAAAGGTGTGGCTTGTAATATCCTCCAAAGCACGTTGGAGGTTTTTCAGAGTTGGTGCTTGAGGGAGCAGATATCTGTCAACCCCAGCAAAACTGTGTTAATCCCCTTCACCAAGAGGAGAAAATTGGACGATCTAACGCCAATTTCCTTCAATGGTGAGGTCATTCCATTTGGAACGGAGGTGAAATATCTTGGCATTGTCCTTGATAAAAGACTCACCTGGAACGCTCACTTGGAAAACGTTTTACACAAAGCCAGACTGTCTCTATGAACATGTCGAAGGATTTGTGGTGAAACTTGGGGTTTAGGTCCCAAACAAATCCATTGTATTTATGTGATGATTATCAGACCAATGATCACTTATGGTGCAGTAAGCTTTTTGGCTTACAGAGACAGGCTTGTCTGGCTATTACTGGTGCCATCAGTACCACACCGTCAGCAGACATAGAGATCCTTCTAGATCTACCTCCTCTCCACATTTTTCTGGAGAGAGAGGCTAGATGGACTGCATACAGACTTGTGCACATTGCCAATTGCACAAATCAATTAAATGCAGAGTGCAACAGACTGTTGGTTGACACTGGAAGTCACAGCATTCTGGAATTGACCTCTGACTTTATGCCTCCAACTGTCAACTACGAACTGCCTTATAAAGTACTATTCCCGAGTAGAGAGGACTGGATCCTCCGGGAGAAGGAAATATTGAGAGCAGATAGTTGTTGGTTCACAGATGGATCAAAAACACCTTCCGGTTCTGGTGCAGATGTTTTAGATACAGACCCAGGACAAAGATATCTACCTGCCTAGGAACTTAGGCGACGACTGTAATCCTAGCGAAAATATACGCTATCGAATTGTGTGCGGAGAGATTGGATAAATCCAACCTCACACACAAGGCAATAAAAATATTCCCGGATAGTCAAGCGGCGTTGGGAGCTCTTGGCTCCTACCGAGCAATGTCTAAATTGGTAGAAAATTGACAAAAACGACTCTCCTCGATAGGAAGACTTTACAGATTGTCACTGGTCTGAATTCCTGGCCATACTGGCCTGGAAGGTAATGAAGCTGCTGACTCTCTTGCAAAGGAGGATGCTGCAAGCGGCTTCGTCGGACCAGAACCTGTCATTGGCATCGCTTTGGGCTTTGCTAAACAAACATTGAACACCTGGATGGCAAGGAGATTTATTGACTTCTGGCAGAATCTTCCAGGATTGGCTCACTCCAAGACGAAGCTTGATACCAAACATTTGTTGGACTACAGTAGGGATGAACTACGATGTCTAACAGGCCTTTTTACAGGTCACTGTCACTTGAATCATCATATGCAGAGACTTGGACTGTCGAAAGACAGTCACCTCTGTTTGGAAAATGATGAAACAGCAGAGCATATACTTTGTACCTGCCCCGCTGGGGACCGAATCAGGTTCTTAGAGTTCGGCAGATCCGTACTCTTACCATCTGACCTGAAAAACCATACTGTAATAATTTAGTGATTAAATGAAACAAATACCTTCGTAATTGTGACTTCACTGCCTTTATTCAGTATACATTTCAAACCTTCCAAGTAAAAAACATTCTAAGAAATATACCGGGAGGCTCCATCTAAATGATGGAACTCCACGATATCACACCTTCACCCTAAAAATGCACATAAGTATAAATTCATTTTTGATATGTTCATCGGTAGGGTGTAAGGAATGTCGAGAGCGTCTTATTTGATCCGTATGCTTCTTATGCTGCCTATCCCCCACCGATGCAATATCAAACAAAGTATTTTCAATTTTTTTTTGTTATCACACCTTCGTTCCACGTAGGATTACTGATGTTAGTGTAATCCCTGTATAGAATATTGTCACCCACATTCAATTCTCTGTTGCCTTATAACCTTTCATTTGTTTTTCTACCTTGGCCCCTACGTGACCTTCACGGTTTGGCATTAACAGATCAAGTCTACCTTTTAATATATGGCCAAACATCAATTCAGCTGGACTCACCCCTGTTGTAGTATGTGCCGTATTTCTTTAATCAAACACAAACCTATAAATGAATTGTTTAATATTCTCATTACTCAACACCGCCTTTTCAGAGCATGTTTGAAATTTTTCAATGCCCCTTCAGCTGCACCATTACTTGACGGATGATAGGGAGCTGAGAACAGATGCATGACGTATTCCATTTATTTTCATGTACTGCTCGAAAGTAGTCGATGCGAAAGGCGGACCGTTATCGATCACTATAGTATCCGGTAACCCGAATTGTGAAAAACAAATCCTCAATTTATCAATAGTACCTTCAGCTGTGGTACTATGCATTTCGAAAGCGTCCAGCCATTTACTATAGGAGTCTGTCAAAATTAATTTTTTTTTTTATTATAAATGGGCCCCAAAAAATCCAAATGCAGCCGACACCAAGGTTTTTTTGTTAACGGCCATGGATTCATTGTGGATTTAGGCGGGTTACTACATATTTTCTGTTTCTAAATCAATATTGGGCCAGTATACGTATGATCTAGCCATAGATTTACATTTATTGATTCCTAAATGATTCAGATGAATTTCTTTCAGAATTTTATTTTGCACATTTTTTCGAATCATCACTCGATAGCCCCATAAAATGCAACCCTTGTTGTAAATGAAGTTGATCGCTTTTAGTTTCATAAACCTTCAATTCTTGGTTGAGTTCGTTTTTGTCTGGCCATCCGTGAAGCAAATAAAAATATAATTTATTCAGAGTTCTGTATTTTTTTGTTTCTAGCGCCACTTCTTTATGATTGATAGGCAGGTTTTCTTCAATGTACAAAATATGATTGAATCCGGCGTCTGAATTTTGGATTTCAATATCATTTGGGAGTCTAGAAAGACCATCTGCGTTTGCATTTTGTTCGGATTTTACGAATTTCATTTTATATTGATAGGCTGACAGGATTGTGCTCCATCGTTGTAACCGGCTGGCCGCGAAAATTGGTATGCCTTTTTTATCTCCAAAAATACTAATTAAAGCCTTATGATCTGTAATTAGTGTAAATGGCCTACCGAAAAGAAATTGATGGAATTTTTTTACGCCAAATATGATTGATAAACCTTCCTTGTCGATTTGACTATATGCTTTTTCGGCGGCATTTAACGAACGAGACGCAAATGCAATTGGACGAGACGAACCGTCAGGAAATTCGTGAGAAAGAACTACTCCCACTCCGTATGCACTTGCATCACAAGCTAAGTACAGGGGTAAATCAGGATTATAATATACAAGAACTTTTGAAGAAATCAATTCTGCCTTAATTAATTCAAATGCTTTATGTTGTTCTCTTGTCCAATTGAATGGCACTTTTTTTTTAAGTGCATACAGGGGAGCTAGTATTTACGCAATTTATCGAATACAGCAGATTAAAATACCATCTGAAAATAAGGCTACGCCATCCATGCCTGCAAAAATACTTTTGATTATTCTCTGGAAAATGCTTGTGTGTATTAATGGTGACTAAGCTCTGTGATTCTTCGTCCAGCTCTATTTGTGCATACGCCTGAGATAAATCAATTTTTGTGAAGTATTTACAGTTTTTTAAATTCGCCAACAAATCTTGAATTTTAGGCAAGGGGTATTTATCAATATATAATTTAGGGTTCAAAGTGACTTTAAAATCTCCACAAATTCTTATATTTCCATCCTTTTTTAATACAGGCACAACTGGCGTTGCCCAATCACTGAAATTTACTGGTTTCAAAATACCTTGTTCAACCAAACGATTCAATTCTTTGTCAACTTTGTTTTTTAGAGAGAATGGCAATGACCTTGCTTTTAGAAAAATCGGAACAGCATCTGTTTGAGATATAATTTTACCTTACCTGCTGTGAAACAGCCGAGTTCACCATTGAAGACTTCTGAAAATCGTTCTAATAGAAAGTTTTTCCAGTCTGTTTTGGAAACAACTTCATTAGAAAAAACATTATTGAGAAAAAAGGAATCAAGTGACCGATCAGTGGAGGACCCCCACCGACAATGATGAACAATTTCAAGTTTCTGTACACCTTTTCACGGAGTGTGATATCACCAATATAGAACCTAGAACTTGAATGTGGTTGCCAACATAAGACTTCAAGTTCAAATTTTCAGCACAAATTGGAATTTTTTTGAATTGATTATCATATGTATCATATGTCATTTTAGAAAGTGCGGAAACTGGAGATCCTGTGTCGATTTCCATTTTTAGAGCAATACCATTAACATTCATATCTGATTTTAGTGGTTTATATTGTTTTTCTCTCAAATTGAAAAAACTCTCAAAATGATAATCGACATCACTTTTTTCAGAATCCGAATCTACTTCAAACATATTTATTATGTACTGTTTTTCCAACAACAGCTGCTCATGTGGCCTGTACGTCTGCACATATGACACTGAGCATTCTTGAAATAACAATGTTTGTCGTCATGATTAAATTTACCACAATGGCGGCAGGCCGAATTTCTGGACCAAGATGGCCGTTGCTGCCTGTAGGCAGCATTTCGACTTTCCTCCAACTTTATTTAATTTAATGACGAAACTGCTTCCACCAATCCTGAATTTTTTTCTGCTGCCTTCATGCTAATAGACAACTCATATGCCTTGTTATGAGTTAAACCCCATTCAGAAAATAATCGTTGGCGAATAGCATCGCTCTTCAAACCGTATACTAACTGATCTCTAATGTTTTCTCCTAGGGCCGCGCCGAAATTACAAGTCTTTGACAGCTTGTTGAGATTTGCGAAAAATGAAGCGATACATTCACCAGAATCCTGTTTTCCTTGTCGGAACTTATACCTCTCTGCAATTTCCGATGGCACTGGCTCCAAATGATTTTTCATCTTTTGCACTAGCTCTGCATAGGTCTTGTTTTCCGGCTTTTCCGGGTTACACAAATCAGTCAGTAACTCAAAAGCTTCGTCGCCAATGACTGTTAAAAGTATAGCTGTTTTGATGTCTTCTTTCACATTATTCGCCTTAAAGTACTATTCAAAACGCATTATGTATGTAGACCAACACTTTTTATTTAATTTAAACTCGTCGATCTTCCCAACCGACATGATGCCTCACTTGTACAGCGAAATAAAATTTCTATTTGATTTAGATATATATTATTTAAACCCATCCTCGTCGCCACTGTAATAATTTAGTGATTAAATGAAACAAATACCTTCGTGGTTGTGACTTGACTGCCTTTATTCAGTATACATTTCAAACCTTTCAAGTAAAAAACATTCTAAGAAATATACCTGGAGGATCCATCTCAATAATGATGGAACTCCACGATATCACACATACAAACTAATCGGCTTCGTTAAGAAGCTGGGTTTATTTGGCCGAGTGTTAATAGATATTAGCCCCAATAAACCCTTGCGGGTTGCGGTGGAGGGTCGAATAGACCCACTCACTTTAGACCTAACCTAACCTTTATACTTAAAAATGGTGTTAAAACCGAAACCGGTCGTATAAATAAAATTAACTAGTGGAAATTAGACAAAAGTTTTTTTATTCACTTCATTAAGTAATGAAACTTTGCATTGAAAATTGATTCATACCAGATCATAACAAACATAAAACAACACAAAATATATATCCATCTTATTTGCATAATATTTGAAATGGCGGTGGTAACTCAAAAAATAATTCAATACTATTCCTTGAGGAAACTATTGTATAATGAAACACGTTTCAACAATTTTGCAAAACCTGTTATAGTGAAAAGCTCACAGAGAACCGTATAATTGAATGTTTATAAATAACTCGAAAGATATATTCTAATTAAAAATTCAATAATGAAATAAAAAAATCAGTTTTATCTTTTTCGAATAAGAAAATGTTTCAATTTTATTCAGCTCCAGAACTTTTTCTTCAAGTATGTAAAAGGGATGCTTTGGCACATTTGTTTTTCAGATATGTTCTAGATGCTGGTTTAATTGTTTTCTTGAATAAGCAAGACATACTGAAGAAAAAAATCGAACAGGGAATAAAGCTAGAGAAATACTTTCCAGAATTTAGCCTTTACAGCCCAGATGGGAAACTGAAGTGTAGTGATGAATACCAAAGAGCCAAACTGTTCATGAAATATAAAATTGATGTAAGCAGATACATTTCTCATAAACTTGTCATGAATCATTCTATTTTTTTTTCAGGAACTAACCAAAATTCCAGTAGAAATAGAGAGTATTGGTCCTCTAGGAGAGAATATAACTGAAATAATACCTCCAAGAAATGTTTACACACATTTCACAATAGCGACAGACACAAATAACATAAGGAAAGTCTTTGATTCTGTCCACAGCATCATTTTGGAAAATGTCCTGAAAGAGGCACTGCCTATATAACTAAAAAATTTGAAGTGAAAAGATATACAATTTCAAATATTTTAATTCTTATAGTTTCAGAACATACATTTCATTAAATTTATAAAAATCACCTACTTTAATAATGACCATTTCAGCTGTTCTTTTGCAGATTGAAAGACCTATAAATAAATAACATTTTCAATAATCATATCATCATTGAAAAACACCGACACCTATGAGTGAAAATCATCCTAACAGTTGGCAACACTATCTGCTAAACTTAATTTGTATATGTCAAAGATAACCAATTTCAAAATTTTAAAAAACAAACCATAGATGTCGCAACTTTGTGATTTCCACTTATTGTTTACATATAAAATAAGTTGTAAAAATTTTTTCACTTGTTTTTTAATATTACCAAAACAATGAATGTATTGCGTTAGTTACCTGGGCTACGGTCTGCTCTCCAATTGGTATATCATCATTCCTCAAAGCTACCCTTGACACAACAGAATTCGAATCAGCATCAAGGATAATTCTGAAAAGGGGCAGACAACATAATGTGGATAGAATCATTTATTACAGATCGATTTTGACACCCTTGGCAATATTCAAATACAAAAGCATTCAAAATTTAGAAAAGTCTTACCCTCCATCACATATCTCATCCAGCGCTAACATAACTATATCCAGGGACTCTAGTACTGCTCGTTTTTCCACATTTTTCCTCAGTATTTGGCTAACTGAGTCATAAAGACAATTGAGAATACTCATAAGAATAAGCTAAAAAAACTAACTTTTCTCACTCAAAAAAGAAAAGTGAATGATTTGTAATTTTGTGTAAAGGTGTATAATATGATGCAGTAGTCGATTTTGATATTTTTAGGAAAGCTTCAAATTACCCTAAAAATGGAGAAAACATTAAAAAATTGCACAGAAGTGTTATTAAAATACTTTCTTCCCAACAAAACATATTCTAGAAGTCAGAAACCTAACTTGAGTTATTATTTGAGGTAACAAATCTTCATATATTGGATACTCTTTGAAAAACGTTTGCAAAACTGTAAGTAAAGCATACTGAAAATTGAATTTTTCTTTTGAAAACTTTCAAAATTGACTCCCAAAGCAAGATGCATAGAAACCCTGGTGTTTTTACCCATTTGTCAAAAACTGTTGACGAGAGATATAAGATTTACCCAAGTTGTAAATTGTTCAGATTTTCAATTCATGGACCATAATGTTGAAAAATCTTTCACCTAGTATCAGTTTATTTCTAAATGTAAACCATATTGAAAATTGAAGTACCAACTTGACATTGTCAAGTAGTGTCCCTCAGCCCCTCTTTGAATGAAATGCAGAAATTCATTGGATCTCTTTCAAGACTGTCGTAGATCAAAAGTTTGACAAAATATTTCACATGGGGAAGAAGTCCAAGTGATCACAACAGGGATATTCTATGCATTTTGCTTTGAGCAGAAATATAAATATGACAAATGATGGTAACACAAATCACAATTGAAGTAGCATTGTTGTCAGTTTGTAGTAACTGTATTCAAACATTTAATTTGATTACAATACAAAAGTATCATATACATAATTTCAAAAACTTCATGGTGGGTAAGATAAGGAATGCATCTTCTTTGTATCCCTTCATATCGGTAATGCACATTAAAAGTTAGATTTGTCTTCTTAGTTTTCAAGTTAACTCAATTGCCAAATGTGCCACATCAATAGGAGACACAACTCTCCATGTGCTTTTGAGGTCGTTTAATTTTAAATTTATTGATGAATGGAATGTCACCTTACATTATGTTGATTTCCCAATTGACAATAAACATAATTCAAACAATTTTCAATACAGAAAAAAATAATTTTCACAGTTGAAGGATGTAGAGGTCTGTGGTACAACTGCGATTTACTTTTGCAATCTTGCAACACTGCTTTCCTCTTTTTAGCCTCCAGAATAGTTCAAAATATAATGTCTGAGAAATGAGGACTAGTAAATTTGCTTTTTCAAGTCGTTTTCAAGCTTAATTGAAAAAGTTTTAGCTTTTCACTAGATTGAAACGGAACTGCAGTACTTCATAAAAAGTAATATGCCTAAAATTAGTATTTTAAATTATGAGGTAAGTACAAAAAGGAAATGAGCATAATTTTTCATTTTCCTGGTGATCTCTCCTAACCCCTAAAATATGTGTTGTTGAGAAAAAGCATAGTAATTTTTTGATATACAGTTTCCACTTTTTCAATTTTTTTTTATTGATTCGACTTTTTCTCTGTCTGCTGATCACACATGTGACGTCAAAACATGGCGCTCTGGTCTACTTTTGGAGATATGATCTTCAGAAAGTAGAAACTATTTCGTGAATTTGCTTCTAGCATTAAAACCATGTAAAATAAAACATTATCACTATCACATTTACCTTGAATGATTCACACAATGAAAAAAATCATGTTTCACTAAATTAATACTGTATTATTTTCATTGACGATTTCGTAACTTCACCTTAGAAAACAAAAACAACACTTTCTTATTCAACAACATGTAAATGACACTTTCCTTTGGTGTTAACGTATTTCCCACACGAGTTTACATATTGTACGGAAACTATTGAAAATTATATTGACTACTGACACACTTGTTCAACTATTTATGACAGATATTTATTTTTTAGTAAAGGCTCACTTGGTTTTTCAATATTACAATACAATACAATACAATATCCTTTATTCGCCATAAAAAATACAATAGTATTATAAGGTTTTGTCAAATATCATATATCATAAGAATAAAAAAGAGGTTTTATTTTTTTGAGTTTTTATTATCCGAATGTGAGTTTCTGAAATAGTTCTATTTTTTTAATTTTTGGAAGGCTGTATCTCCAAAAGTAAAGCGGAGTATAGATGAGTACTATTCCAATCATTTACAATTGGATTTCATGATTCTGCTAATGCTGTTGTCGGTTTTGAAGATTGATCAAACCATCAACACCAAGATGAAAACTTGGCAAATTAACCTGTGTGTCACACTGATCAGTGGTTCCACTTCTGTTTTGCTTGCTTTCGCACAGTGATTTCTATCAATATTCTCCTTGGATTTCTCGATTTTTCTTCCATAGAGGATCACTTGTCCAGTACTGATGAAGGTCAACAGGCTGCAACAGCTGCCTACTGGTGGCTTTTAAATTGAAACCAAATTGTGAATGATCATAATAGTAATCATTTATTTATGTTTTCATTTTCACAGAACTATTTTCCAGCAGCTTAACTGCTAACCTAATCTTTCTTGATTTCATATATATGTATTTTATCAAACACAAAAATTTGAATGTTCTGAAGTTTTCTCGAAAACTTTATCAAAATCTGCAACATATTCTACACTTTTTCCAATTGATTATCTACTAACCTCGTTTTCGTGTGAGCTGCCCATAACATAGAAAAATAAATCCACATTGCTCCTATAAAGGCAGGTTAATCCATCTAGCATGATGATTTCTGCATTTGCTCGATGTGTTTTGTTAAATAGATTTTTCTCAAAGGCCTTTTGCTCTTTGGATGAGGGGAATGTGGTTTTGTCGTAATATTTTGCCAGGATTCTGTTTCCATCATTATCCAGGATCAAAATCCCTTTTATGGTGTATAAAGTGGGTTCCTGAAATAAGATTAAAATAATGTGGAAATGACAAGTAGTGGGAAAGTGTAACCTACCAACAATGAACCTTCCATGGCTTCAATTCTCGTAGTTTCGAGACTGGAGCAAACAAGTTTATTTTTTAATTAAAAATATTTCTATAACCTATTTAATTAATTGATCTCATAATATTCAAATTGAAAGTGGGAGTTGTCCATTTCTTTTAAAGAATTACATTTTTTAAGTTCTGATGAATCGTCGGAGGGAGATAAAATCACACATATGCACCTAACATTGAACAATTCCATAAGTTGACGATAAACATATCTTTAACATTCTCAACGACTCCAGTCTAAGATGACTATACACTGATACACTGATAAAAGTTGGGATGCGTTTTTGTTTCAGAGATTACCAAGTGGGTTAGGTACCAAGATGGTACCAGTAGTCAATATTTCTATTGATTTTAGTCATCAATTGATCTTTGATGAATGATGTTGCAGATATCATTATTTTTCCTAAGGAACGAATAATTAAATTTATTAAAAAAACGCATGAGTTAATTAACATTCGTAAATATAATATTTTGTGTCAAATTTGAAAAATTACGTTTGCTTATTATGTTTGCTTTCATCTCACTATTAGCCAATCTATATATAACGTTATCTGATAAGTTTTAATCTCACTAATCTAATTCCAAATGGAGTCATTACCGCCAATATATTGGCGCCAATATTTTGGCGGTAATAACTCCATTTTCACCATTGGAATCTCCTAAATTACAGAATATATGTCGAGGCTTAAATGACTCCATCGAAAGATTTGTTTAATAAACACTAGTTGTCAGAACTCATCGAACATCATAAGTTTGCACAAATACTTCAGTCAAAATGTCCTCATTCTCAAATGAAGAAAAAGAAGATATGTTGAAACTTCATTTTAAATTTGATAGGAATATTGTAATAAGTGGCCGTCGGGTCTGAATTTGCGATCCCTTTACACTACTAATGATATACCTATAATGATTATCTTGGGTGACTTGGTCTATCTTCGCAGAGCAACGTTTTGGTAGTACCACCATGGCTTGAATGCATGGTCATTTAAGGGAATGAAATAATATCAGTAGAGTTTCCACAAACCAACTTTACTGATAAATAAAGTAGGCGGAATAATTGGATTAACAATAGATAAAATAAAATTAACAAAAATAATGACTGAATTTTGAACCTGAACAGAGCAATATTTATATTCTTTCTTTATATCTGATTCACTGAATATTATTTGAACTGTGTGCAATTTGAAAGAAAATGAAATATATAGTTATAACCATATGAAAACTTATAAACAAACAGGTATTTAAAATATGACAAGATCATTCCTCTGTCAATCTAATTAACATCACTCAGGACAGAGGTATGCCTTGCGTGAATTCTAATAGAACTGCTGTAAAAACAAAATGAAATACAACTATGAGGAATTATAAAGAGACCCACTTAATTGTTCCTCCCTGTATAACGCAAGAAAAATGATATAACCTTATAATGAAAAAGGGAACCCGAATCGTAGATATATGATAAGTTTTCAACAATACCCTAGGTGCCGATTTGAAAATGTAAAACACATACGCATACAATAACATATACAATATAGATAAGAATTATCAAGATACGCTCACCAACTAATCGTAGATGGACTCTCCTGAAGTCTCCGACAAAAGCCACTATTTCCCAAAACTGTCCCAAACTCTTATCAGGAACTCAAAAATGTTTCCTCAACTATAACTATACCGCAATAAACCGCGAATAAACACCAATAACGGAATTACTTCGCGAATTCCCTCAATAATTTTTCCAAACTCAGAAGGAAATGTAACTGACCTACTTCTGACTTCGTACGCTACCCTCTTCACCTCAATTCAATTAAACCACGAATAATTAACAAGACTGAAACCCTTCGTGACATAGGGCCTTCAGGACCCTGCCCCGGTCAAAAAAAACCGCGAACTACTCGCGGGTCCGCGCATGACTGACTGAATTCCCTTTTCTTAATTTCCAAAACTTTGTAGTCACAACGTTGGAGAATGAAACTCAACGTATCCCTGGAAATTCCCCCAATTAGGTGGCTTTAAATTATTTCCCAGATTCGTACGTAACGCCCTCTTCAAATCCGGTAGATAAGACCGTAAGAATTACCGACAAGTCTCCCGCTATTTATAATGTAGTAAGCCTGCTACTGATATTCAGAT